ATTATCTTAATTACAACTCTTGAAGCATATATTACAATCATTTTATGCAAGATTTTCAAAAAACTCTTAAAGACAACTCATTAAGCATGATGTACAAATCATTTATGCATGAATGTTAAAAGTATCTTTCTTACAATCYACAATACAAGATGTACAAATGTTAAATGCTTACTTTTTACATGGTCAAAATTTTCAGCTTTAACAATGCCAATTTATAAAAAAGAAACAAATGATTTATGTTTCCAAAGTTATTTAACCTTTTCAGACTTTCCTTTTTTCAATCAAATTCAAATTTCAAACAAGGATAACATAAAATTATCACCCTCTCCTCGAAGCAGCGACTTCTCATAATAGGGTTTCTTTTCCTAAATATTTTCCAAAATCGGTCATATCGATCAAAGAGGGGTTTAAATGTTTTAGAAATCTCTCAAAATACTCTCTTCTACAGAAGCACCTGCGTTGATTTCAAACGATTAGCCGAAAATCTTGTCTAATCGAAGCTCTGTTTTCACGATTTCAAAGAACATACATGGGGGTGCAAGGTATGCTTATTGATTCTTAATCTTAAACATGCATGTCGGATTTTGGGTTGTTAAAGCTAAACCCTAGGTTTTATTTCGACAAATGTTCATATTGTTTTGTTGTTGAAGGACTTCGAAAAAGCAGCCAAATAAGAAATCGAGTGGTGGGAACTGGAGTAACACTATAGACAATCCTCTTATCGTTGATCAAAATGAACCTAACGTACTACTTGGCCATTCAGTTTCAAGCACAACTTTGATGAAAGAAACAGGTATGAACTTGAATATTTTAGGAAGTTTTGCTGATTTATGTGGTCTTACRTGTTATAATAGATGTGTATGTGGTACAATGATGGGCTTTATAATGTATTTTTCATTTATTGTTATATGTTCTACAGAAGCGCCTGCGTTGATTTCAAAGGATTAGCCGAAAATCTTGTYTAATCGAAGCTCTGTTTTCACGATTTCGAAGAACATACATGGAGGTTTTGTAGAATGTTCTTCCCTTATMTGTTTGAGTAGCTAGGTTTCATCTTTTTATTATCTTATCTATTTGAGTAGTTATGCATGTTCTTCGATTTCAAAAAAGAGAAGTATGTATGATCTTGGCTTCTTCATGTTCTTGTTGCCTATGAGGCTATGACTTTGTTTTGACCTTGCTTTTCTTGTAGTATCCACATTGTCATCAAGATTATAAATTTATAATGTAATGTTTATACGGTTATTGTTTTTAATAAGTAACAGTGTATGCATGTGGCAAGGTGGTTTTTTGTTTCTGATATGCGGTCAGTTCTCT